AGTAGCCCTCGGCACCGCACAGCCCAGCCGGAGCTCCCAGCTCCCATGGCTGCACGGCCTCGCCGCGGGGCAGATCTGGCCGCTTCTGTTTCTGCTTCTGCCACGAGACCGCGAGCAGCACGACGGGGACGGAAGGTGGGTGCGCGCCGCTTGCGGGAGCCGGTGTGCCACACCGGTGGGCGAGGGCTCGGGGTGCCCTTAGAGGAACAGGACAGTGCCAAGCTGCTCCCAGGATCACCCGGGTCAATTAAGAGCCAGCATGATGGCTATTTTCATCATCACCACGTCGCGACACGAGAATTACCACCTCCCCTGCGCAGCCAGCAGCGAGGCACAGGTCGTACTGCTGCTAACCTGGGACCATTCTTCCCTGTGCTGGAGTTCGGATGTGACGGGGCCCTGACTTCTGACCAGATTTTCTGACCAGATTTGTTCTCGTGTCCCCCCCCCCATGTCAACTGTTCCTTTTTTGGCAGCGTGACACGCTTCCTCCTCGCCACCTGCTTTGTTTGCGGACGTCTCCCGCCGGCTGCCACACGGGGGTTTTGGCACGACGTGGTGCCCTCGCTCTTTGTGAACCTCCTGGGGAAGCCAGCAGCGGGGGTAGGAGCTGTCTCGTGTAGAAGCCCCCTCCGTATGACAAAGGGTAAGGAAGTAATTAGAGTTTCTCCCTTGGCGCGCATCCTGAGGCAGGGATCTTCCCCAAAAGCGCGCTTTCCCCCTCTTCTATGATGGGATCCGTAAAGAAGAAACGAGAGCACTTGCTCTGGGACGACACGTTTGCTCTTAGGAGCCCACTGCTGGGGAGTGGCAAGGGATGCCGGAGAGGTGAGGGCCGTGCCCACTGTTCAGCGTTCTCCTGAGCACAATTCCCAGTTCAGCACGGAAGGGCATTTCCGGAGGAGAGAAGCACCGAGATTCGCGTTTTGTTCATGGCGCTGAGAGAACAAACGCACCAACCTACGGAGCGGGAACTGTAACTGCGCCTTCTGGAGCCCGGCAAGGAAGAGGCAGAAGCCTGAAAAGGGTAGCAGGAACGGGGGAGGTCCTGGGGAAACTGTGAAGGAGACGAGGTGGGGAAAAAAACGGGAGCTCCAGCTCCCTTCTACTAGGTAACCGCTGCCGTTTGGAGCCAGCGCGGGGGCCAGGCAGCCCTTAGGCAGCGTGTCGCTCCGCGGCTGGGGCCGGGCGTGCCCTTTGCCTCTTGGCTCTCCAGCACCAGCTACTCCCGCCGCTCCACACGCATCCGATGTTAGTGCCGGGCCATACAGGTCCCTCTCCACGCAGTGACAAGTCCCCCGAGAACCTCAGCTGCTGTTCGGAATGGCCGTTTCGGCCATCGGTGGCTTAAGGAAGCGTGCCCGAGCCAGCGCCAGCGCCTTCCTCCTGCGCCAACCGGCTCCTGGGTAACCAAGCGAGCCCTCCTCCACCCACGCTCTCTGCGGGAGCCGGGTTGTCCGGGGATGCGTCCGTGCTGCGGCGCGATCAGCACGACGAGAGGGTGACACGAGTTCTCTTTGTGAGATCCCGTCAATGTCACGCAAAAACCGGTTCTCAGGTTCTGCACAGACGGGTTTATAGATAAAACATTTCTCCGAGCTGTTACAGACCCCATAAATACGGCGGTTTTGCTGTCGCGTTTACGGCTGTGCATGTGCAACGATGTGCAAATCACACAGCTGGATTACAGTCACCGAAAAGCACCGGAACCTCGTGCCCAAGCAACGCAGCCAACGAGGAATGCCCACCGCGGAATCTGAACAGCAAACCTGGAACACCGTCTCCCTTCAGGACACGTTTCCACGTCCTTGCAGTAAAATCTTCACACATCTGAAATAGTTTGTATCCATTTTATTTGTATATGTCAAAATACAATTTTTTTTTTTTCCAAAATAGTGGGTTTCGCAACTAGTTTCATGCAGATACAAGGTCTGCTCAGTACTACCAATAAAATCAATATAGCACAGTAGCCATTCATTTTTTAGATATAAAGAATAAATAACCTAAATATAAAACACTAAAATATTAGAAACACGTATTTAATCATTCACAGGCACCCAAACTTTACCAAATATAATCCAGGATACGCCTAACTGTCTTGTAACAGAACTCAACGCGTTGCAGCCATCCGCTTCTGTGTTTTACGTCCGCGTGAGACAACGGAAGTCCCTGTGGTTCAGACCCACCTCTCATACAGCTCAACTGCAGTAAGATACCTCAAACTATCCGTGTACCTTTAAAATCAAGAATCCTGAGCTTGGTAGTAAGAGCATAACCTTACATCTTCAAAAAACCAATCAACAGCGAGAGGACATCGCGTCTTGCTCACCAAAGCACGCCCCGCCCCCGTAAAACTAACCCCGCCCCCCGTAGGCAGTAGAACACAATGACCTTTTTCAATGAAGGGGTACAAATTCACATTTAATATCGTATACAATATAATCCATAATACAAGAGCTACCGCAGGCTTTGCAATGTACAATTTGTCTCAACGGCTGAGCCGCTCAGTGGTCTGGGGCAATGAGCTATGTGCCAACAGGATGTCGTCGTCTGAATGGTTTCGTGAAAATACAAAAGCTGTTTTAAAAGCCATTTTCACTGAAGTACTTTCTTTGTTTTTAAAGGCCACTGAAATGTATAAAATGGTCTGACGTGACGGGTGTTATCAAATCGGACACCTTCTCGCACGGCGACAACAGTGCACACAAACATCACTGCGAGCGTAACGGGCTGTGTCTGTCGAAGGGTTTAGTACGTTACTTTGGCTAGCACAACAGTTTTGGACAGCACTCAGATAAATACGGGTATGTGAAATGTAGTGAAGCAGTTATATTTATGCAACTTTTTATTATGGTGAACACTATCAAATAAAAAAAAAAAAACATGGGAGGAAAAGATAATAAAGGATTTCATATAGTTTAGACCTTTTGTAGAGATAGGGCTCCATACAATGTACAACGCCTAAATTCTTTATGCCATAAAAATTAATGGATTTTGTTAAACACGCTATTCTGGAGTAGCCTAATTTGCATTAACAGACATTTGCAGTAGGGAAATATATTCAAGCATGCCACGTGGTGGTCTGAAGAACCAAACCACATTTATATATACAGCATCACTCAGTACCTGCTCAAATGAATGTGACGGATACAGGATCTAACATCTTTCACTACAAACGCTTTTTTTTTTTTTTTTAAAGTGACCAATAAAGGCAGAAAACAGGACTCTTAAAATATTTCTAGTTTCAACTGACTTTTAAAGCATTTTGTATAGGAAATAAATGCATATTGCACAAACAGTGAAAGCAAATGTTCCACCAGACAGCTCTGTTCCAGGTGGCTGGACGATACAACTCTAGGTAGCTACACAAACATGTAATTTAAAAGGGTGTGTGGTCTCTGCAAATGGTAAAGCTGTGAAAACTGTACAAGAAAATCTGGTACATGAATAATTAGAAGGGAAAAAAACCCAACAAAAACAAACAACCTCCAAACTTAAGATTTAAAGAAAAACTGAGTATAGAAAAAAACCTAGGAATTGTGGCACAACAAAAACGTTATTGAGTAACTGTCTTCTGTGAGAGCTGAAAGCTTTTGTTGATGTAAAAGTGTTTATGTACAACTAAGGCTTACTGGTTAAATATCTGAGGCGTATCTGGCCTTGAACACTTTCCTTATTATGCTGTAGCTGTAAACAAGGTTTCTCAGTCATTTTATCTTCTCAGCAGCTGCATTTTAACAGAAACAATGATCTTGATACAAAAAAACACACAGGTAAGAGGGCGTTTGGCAGGATATCTGAAAATGACAGTCTCCAAGGGATCTTCCCACACTTCCAGTGACTGCCACGCTATGGTCCACTGGAGTTACTCGTGATGTGCAATACCGTTATCTGCTGCTGTAGTAAACCCTTTATTTGGAAAGTTTGCTTATAACTCTGATCAAGGCCCCGTTTTCGTCTTTTAGCCTCTGGTTGTCTGCCTTCAGGTCTGGTAGCATCTGTGAAAAAGCAAACACGACAGTTATTGGCCACTGTATAAAAGCAGTAAGAGCAGACAAGCACGGGCCATGAAAACCTTCCTTCAGCTGAAGCGCCTGGGCGGTAATCCCCCTTCACACCCGCAGCTCAGAGAAGCCCCACTGCTGGGCACGATCCAGTTCGGAGCTGCAGGTCAGGAGTTTTCACCTCCTTGGGCTGGATGCAGTCACACTCGGGGCTGCAGGTGACAAACCTCTCACAAAACATTCGTAGCAGCGTGAGGAAAGTAATGAAGTGCTTCGAATTTCAGTGCCAAACAACTGTTGATTTCCAACAAATTTGAAGAGGTTTGTCTGTACTGCACTTGCAGAGTTTCCAAAAAACATGCCATGGCTAAGCGCATCTCCCACTGTGCTCTGGATGATTACATCCTGATCAGGTACAGTGTGGTTCAGCGGGTTAGCTCAGAGCATTTATCTCCCAACCACTTCCAAGCTCAGGTGGAAGCAGACATCCTGTCACTCTGAGATCATGTCCCTGAACAGCACGGGTCACACAGGATCGGGTGGTTGAAGGAGGTGATGGAAACACCAGGCTGCATACTCAGGCACAGGGGTTAGGAGCTGGCGAGGGAAAGCTGCCACTGGGGGTGGGTGACACACAAGCTGGAAGGCAGGAGCCGAGTGAGGTGAGAGTCGGGCAGAATCAGACAGGAAAGGAGGGCAAGTCAGTGCACAGAGGTTTGGACCGGGACAATGTAACTTGTCAGAGAAACCAGCGGTGATCTCAGCAGTTCTGCATATCCACATTCACACACTGATCACAACCCACCGGCGATCCTTGTGGCTAAACGGCGCGTACGGTTTCCAGCAGCAGGCTGACGCAGGAGGCAACAGCCCACTGCTGCAGGGCGGTTACTCTGTAACCCTGGGTGCGAGGGCGTGCAGGGGGCCTAAGCCCCGCTGGTGGCCCACTGACGACTGCTACGCCACTTCTCAGCACGAAACCTCCTCGCCACTAGTTTTGTTTTCACTTCATTCGAGCAAAAATACACTCTCAACCCCATTACGTTCAGGACGTTCTTGCAGAACAGAAAGAACGGAGGAGTTGAGAAACGCGGGGTTAATGAACTGCGCGTCAGGCTGGAGGCTTCACTCACCCACCTCCCCTGAAGGATTCCTGCCCTCACCCAGTTCACCCCACGGCAGGCCCTCCCACACCACAGCAGTGCGCCGGAGGCGACAGCATCTCTAGTTCATGCTCCCGCGTGTACCCCAGCACGTGAAAGGGAGCTGCCGGCAGATCCTACGAGGACAAAAGGTGGTCTCCACATTCAGAGTAAGTAAAAATCATTCTGCTAACCGGGATTCCAGCTCTGCTCCACGGTGGAGCTTGGGGCACACCACCTAAACTGAGCTCTTCACAGAGTCGGGGTGGAGTGACAGCTCAACAGCGGGGTGACAGCTGTGCTCGGAGCAGAAAGTGCTGCAGAAGGCTGATGACTTTCAAAAACCACGGCGAGGTGTTTGGGCATCACAAGTCATCACCTGGCAATTTCCCAGCCTGCTCTGCTCAATCTTCTAAGCCGTAAAACGCGAGCGCTGTTGTCCCAGATGTAGGTGCTTGGGGCGTGCCCAGGTAACGGGCGCGTGTACCGTGCACTTGTGCACACACCTGTGGTACCAGGATAAACTCGGGCTTCCTCTACGCCCCGTGTCTGCAAACAGCCACCCGCCCTTTGCCAGGCAATGCACCTAACACCTCTCCTTCCTCCCTCACAGACTTCACACCAAAGGCCCGGGGTGAAACCACAGCAGCCTCCACCTAGCCACGCACAAGGAAGCAAGGGAGTTGGATCTGGTTCTTGTTAACAACTGCCGTTGTGCATGGCTTCCAAGGAAACCTCGAAGGAACTCTTTTAGTCCTCTTTCTGCCCACTGATTAGGGACCTGCAGCCAGTAACGCTTAATTACGTACAGGCAGACCCATGTGCTGGTGGTGTGTTTTCTGGAGAACTACTTTAACAGAAAAAGCCCCCATTGGAGTTCAGAGCTTTCACATAATCTGGTACCATTTTACGTCTGCAAATCTCCGTAGGTAGATTTTAATACCAATTAAACTAACAGGTAGAATAGGTATTAAGAAAATGTTTTTTTCCTTTTGGTGTGGGTCTCTAAAGAATAAGGGAAGGCTGGTAGGAGACAAAAGCAGTTGTGAGTAACAGGAGACTGATCGGGAAGGGTAAGATCAGGTAACCTAGAATACTTCTGCACTAATCCCCACACACTTCAAACCTAGCCAAAGACACCTAGACACTTTTCTGGGAGCAGCGCATTCCAGTGATGCTCAAAGTTCTCCTGAGGTGACACCACACACCTTTTCATGTGCAGAGGCAGGAAAAAAAGCTTTGCAGTAAATTCAGCAAAATTACATTTACATACAGTACTTAACGCTTTCAGTTCCGACTTGTTTCTCACTAAAAGAGTATCTTACTCTGATGGAATCCTTGAAAAAGATCACACATGTCCTATTTTGCCCATCTGTATTCCATGACTAGCTAGTAACTCTGCAGTCCTGTCGTTGAGCAAATAATTATTCAATAATCACCTGACGAGACGTGGAGCCAACTCATATCTGTACAGTACTAATGGCTGTGTTTGCTGGAGGATTTAACAGTTTTTACACACAAACCAGCTTTGCAAGTGAAGGTTACAGAAAGCTCCAGAACTGCTAAGGTACCTGTTCAGATTGATTGACACACTGTGACGTTTAACCCACCACCATCATGTCCAGCCTCCCTGCTGTTTCCATCGCTTTTCTTTTGCTAGCCCAGATCCTCCTGCTCCACTTACGATCTGCCGCTGAAAACTCCCCCGACAAAAAGGAACACTGAATAGTTTCCTGTGGGTTAACACCCTGAACTGGCTTACCATGGCTAAAGGAATGCCAGTGCTAGCAAAACCAGACGGTGTGGCCCTGGACAGCAGGCATTAGATGAGCTCAGCCGTGTTGAAAACCCACACTGTTAGCTGAAGCTGATGTAAGAGGGGCTGCCCTGAAGGGACCCCTTTCCCCCCGCACACAGCAGTACGCTCCCGCTCCTCTCTGCACGTTAGCTCAGTGATTCAGCGATGCTGGGCTGAGACAGATCAAGTAATTCAAAGAATAGAGGGATTTCTTTTTCAGCCAGCTCAGTGAGCTGACTTGCCTCGCTCAGCTAGGGTTAACACAAGGGAAAGTGGAGGAATGCAGGGCCTACACCAGGAAGAACCTTTTTATCCACATCCTATTGCTAGAACAACTCCAGGAAGACACTAAGCCAAAGGATGAACCTCTATTTCATGCCTCTTAGTGGGGAAAACTTCAGATGGAGCTCTGAGCAGAATGAAAAAACATACATTCATCGCCCTGCTTTTAAGCGGGAAGGGGGGCGGCGAGGGGAATCCATTCAGCAAGAGTCACTGTGCAGAAGGAAAATTGTCTTTTTCACCCACAGATCTTAAAAGCTCACTGAAACCTCCTGTGTCACATAAGAGAAGGAAGAAAGGCATACAGATTCGGCGTGGAAGGAAACCACATTTTGTTCCTCATGGGGGTTTTGAGCCTGCCGTGGGTTTCTGAAACAGCCCTGCGGTAACACAAAGGACAACCAACTGGCATTTTCTTTCCAAGATCATAGAATCACAGAATGGTTTGGGTTGGAAGGGGCCTTAAAGACCATGCAGTTCCAACCCCCCTGCCATGGGCAGGGACACCTTCCACTAGACCAGGTTGCTCAAAGCCTCATCCAGCCTGGCCTTGAACACTTCCAGGGATGGGGCATCCACAGCTTCTCTGGGCAACTTGTTCCAGTGCCTCACCACCCTCTCCGTGAAGAACTTCTTCCTGATATCCAACCTAAAACTCCCCACTTTCAGTTTAAACCAGTTACCCCTTGTCCTGTCCTTACAGGCCCTTGCAAAAAGTTCCCCCCCAGATTCCTTGCAGGCCCCTTCAGGCACTGGAAGGTGCTATAAGGTCTCCCTGGAGCCTTCTCTTCTCCAGGCTGAACAAGCCCAGCGGTTTGTACCTTTAACAGAAGGGGGCAGATCCAGATGACCTAGTAAGTATGAACCGACCTGGCACACTAGGTAGGGTTTTTTGTGTCTGTGTTCGTACAGTCCTTGCATGATAGGCCGCTGGCCCACGACTGGAATGCCTACATATACAGCAACATAAATCAGTAACCTTAACTCAGTGCTAATATTTCAAGCTGTCTAGGTAAAAAATAAAGATTGTACAGCACCGCACGGGAAGTTAATATGTGAAAATACTAATTGACTTTAAATGCCAATACATTTCTGAACGAAAAGACTTCGGTCCACTTGTAAACGCTAAAACACACGAATGGAAGAGATGAAGTTGCTGGTGCAACTGTTCGGGAACGCACAGTACTGGAACTGCTTCTCAAACATTCTTTAGCTGAGACTAGGTCTGTACCACTTCTGTGCACTTCAATTATGCTGCAGTGAGCGAGCTCAAATCTCAACTGCAATTTGTTGGAAAACTAGAGGCAAACCTACCTAGTTGAGCATTTACTCAAACATAACACAAAGGACTGACTTCAGTGCATCCCAGTGCAAACTCAAATCCTTTCAACTGCTGCCAAGGTTTTAACGTGTCAGAGGTCTCCTGGATCACTGCCAGTGTATCATAGGGGAGGGCAAGCTGCAGTGCTAGTAAGGACAACACCACACCATACCAACGCACCTGCGACACCTGTAGTTGCTGCGCCGAACGCCATGCTTTAGCCACATGTCCATAACAGAGCAGCAGTCAGTCAGTTGCTGACACACAAGCGTTAATAGTAAACTTCTACCCAAGCACAAACCCCATGTCAACACCTGCCTGGCTACACAAAGGAGAAGGGAGAAATTACAAGTCCAGAGAGCGCAGTTGCCTACAGGACCCTGAGAGCTTGGCAACCACTCGGGTCAAGGCCCTATTCTCAGTCACCAGTCGCTCATTTATGTGTCTTAAAGATTGAATCTGCTTTATTTGTTGGAGGTTCTGCAGGAATCAAAGAAACAGGAGTGAAAACGAGATAAAAACCACATGCATGTTATGTTTAAAAGAACTCGAGATGAGCAGAATTGAAAGAAACCTTAGAAGAGACAGTCCTGTTTAAAGTCGGTAAATCCCTGTGAAAGGAAAGTTATCAAACAAGTGGCACATTCTTGAAAAGCAACCTAAGAGCCAGCAGTGATTAGTCACAGCTTTCCAAAACAGTTCAGGATACATTAACAATGAGAGCTATTCCTGGAATTCTTTACTTAACATCCTAATTGCACAAACTGAATCTCCTATTCAGAAGTCGGTAAATAATGACACATTTAACACATACTTTTTACACAGTGCAACAACTGATAGGAAGAGTAATCTTTAGTTCAAAATTTTACATACTGCTTATTGAAAGTAAGCTTTGGGAAAAAAGGCAATATATTTTCATTCTTTGTTTTTCTCAGATGCCCAGCCTTCCCCAACAGGAATGTACAGGTTGATGGCAGAAGCTCACATCCTGTCTTCCACTCGTAGACACAATTATTTTCCGACACCGGTTTGCTTTCTACACATTTCAGTTCTAAAAGATCCCTCAAGGAACTACAGATGCTGTGTCCTCCCTTCAGCAAAATATCTTGGCCTGAATCCAAGGGAGCTACAGGAGCCATGGTTGCCTTCTGCCTGAATCTGCCTGTCAGCTTTCATTATTTCAACAAAACTTCGGGCACGTATTTTAATGAAAAGTATTTGGAAGTTAATGCCATTTCCAAGCAGCAGAGGGAGCTCAAAAATGAGTCTGAGAGGAAGCTTTCTATTAATCGATGACAAATAGCCAGTGTCAAAACAGTGATACTTTTAAAAAAACTTTGGGGTGAAAAATACGTCTTCTGTTTCATCATGTTCCACTAGTTTCCTAGTCAGACTTTATCAGTTTGGATGGCCCTGCCCAATATCCAAGGACATAATACAACACAAACCTGTCAAATTTCTCACCCTTCTTAATCATAGCAGAGGCCTTAACACCAGGAAGTGGCTAAAGTCAGACGACGACTGGTTAAAAAACCCAAAGCAGCCAGAAATGTATTCAAAAATTATTTTCCTTCTGGGATTCAGTTTATACGTAGTTGAAAAAAACCCAGAAATCAGTACATGTGGTAAACGGCACATATTTGTCAATATCTGAAATGTATCTACTGCTTTTTGGTAACTAAAAACTGATTACGGTTATACAAATGAAAGGTTTTGATATTGGTAAAGTATCAAATGCTGCCTGCTGCATCATTTAAAGAGTATGAGGGAAACGTTGAAGCAACATCTAATGCTTAAATATCGATGGAATTACATGCTACCATTTTTTTTTTTTTTTACAGAGTATCAGGTCAAGCACGCAGATGGCAATTCCATCTCGATTAGATCAAGAGATCTCTCATTCCAGCCGTCCCTGAACGTTTCTTGTTAGCCAGTGTGTTACAGAAGCCTAAGTCTCAGCGCCTCCCAAGAAGTCCCGCAGGTATGAGTGCTTACGGTGGCATACCAGCTCTGCCACGAGCTGTGCGACCTGAGTGGCTCTGAAGTGCAGCTCTAACTTCGTTATCGTCTCATGAAATCACAGAGACCAGCAATCCTGCCAGACTATATGTTGCCCTGACAGAGTCATACGCTTTGTTATTAAGAGTTTAACGTGTAATGGGTTACTTACTTTTAGTTCCTCTTCCATTTCAGATATCCTTCTTTCTAGAGCTCTTCTTTCCTAAATCAAAAGATGTGTGTTAACACTGGACAATACCATTAAAACCAAAAAAAATTTACTGCTTGTAAATGCTGTGGTAACAGTGAAATACTTCAAGTTTCAAAGATCATACAACCAAAAGCAGAGTGTGGACAGGAAACTTGTGACGGCAGTGATATACAGAAGTTCTGTCAATGTGGAATTTTAATATCTGAGGAGGAAGACGTAGAGAAATCTACATCGAGTCCTACAAAATATGCCCCTTCCTTTACCCAAATTTAGACAGGTCATAAGTACCAGTTGTTTGGATTTATCTTCAGGAGCCCGGCTTCTATAATAGCTTAATATACAAGAAATGCAGAAAATGATCAGAAACAAACGAGAGTATTAAAAGAAACAAGCACAAAAGCGTAAGCTTTCATACACAAGCCAACGTAGCTGAAACATCTGTCTCAGCTCAGTGGGATCTGCCCACACTATACACTGCAATGCAGCGCAGATGCACCCAAATCTACATCACAGGAGTTCAGCTGAGCGCCAAAGAAATCTCACTACGTAACACCACCTGCTTCTTGAGAGAATGTTTCCTGAGCATTTTCTGCATTCCTAGTATAGTTTTCTTTTTTTTTTTTCAATTTTTACCTGAGAAGCAGGAAAAATTATCCTTCGTAGGGGTTGTTTCGATTACACCCATGACGGTACCCGAGCTAGCTTACTGCGAGTCAGCTTCGGGGTTTCTATACTACGCTGCAGCCTGCGGCGCAGACACATTACCGTATTTTTAACTGCCATTATTTCGCTCAAACCTATTTTTCAACACATCTGACAGGCGAACAGCTAATGCAATAGACTTGAGGGGTTTACAGCTCGGTTGCTTGCTTTCCCGCGTCAGACAATGCAGAGTGTCTCGTTGAGAAGCAGCTGCGGTTATCAGAACTCTACATTCAGATTTTTCCAAGGTGTGAAAGGCAAAAGCAACAGATGATTGCGAAGTGGACATATGCATCTGCATACAACGGTGTTACGCAAACAGCAAGCAGCATTGACTGAGGTGTGTAAAACTTTGGTTAGATCATACCGCCCAGTAGATACTGACTCTTGCCGGTCACCTTTCAGATATAAATCATTTGAATTCAGTTTAATCATAGTGCAGTTATACCCCAACATTTTCCCATTTTAGCAAACAACTTCAAAGGTTTATCAGAGTAATAGATTACAGTTGGTAGTACTTAACTCCCTCGCGTTGAGACCTTCCCCGTAACGACACTGACTGACAGGAATGGGCAGAGGGGGTACCAGCGAGTTAACTGCAGTAAGCAAGGGACTAACAGAACACCCACTCCATCTTACATGACTCAGAATTCTCTCCGTTACCTACTGGCTTCGTCGAATAACTCATATTATCAGTGTTCTTACATTAAGCAACATTTGACAATCCCTGTGATTACCGAGAGATGAATGATCAAATGAATCCCAGAATTTCAGATGGTGAGAAACTGTTAGTCCTTTTGATGCATTTCCTTAACTAGCATATTGAGCTTGTCCAAGAGAAACTCTTATCAATAACAGCCAATTAAATAAAATCCTTGTTTCACTAACTTTGCATACTTCACATTATATAAAAGCAACTTTCAAATGGACTGGCCTAGATAGATTTATTTTAAAATCACATTGTTCTTATTAGATGAAGCCATGCTTCTCCTTTTCCTGAACTGCTTCCTGTTTTAGGAACTGGCTTGAGGAATGCCAACAAAACAACACACTGCCATTTCACTGGGAAGATTTGCCAGTACTATCTGACTAGTCCCTGGATTCAAAGGAGGGTCTGGAAATTTATGCAGCCCAAAATTTTATTATATACTTCAACAACTCTATAAGGTATGCCTAGGAACTTCTGTAACCCTCAAAATGAAAACACATGCTAGTCTCAGCTTACAGAATCCAACAGATTCTTTGTATTTACCAGAGCAACTAGGAACCACAATCTTGGTGCAGTGAGACTGAAGTATGTTGAAAAACTGACCCGAGTTATAAAATCATTACGAAGTAAACCCAGATGTACATACCTACATACATTTGTATATTCAGTAACACCAAGAAATCGCTACCTCTCCACAATCCAAATTCCCAGGTGATGAATTATAAATTTGGGGGAAACCAGTTAAAGTTACCTACAATTCTGAATTCTCATTCAGACTGAAACTGTGCAGTTTGAGTTTTATTATTACCTCACATGAAATTCTGCAAAGGACTTTTAGCATACTTTTCAGGGTGACAGCTTGTTAATGAAACCCTTACTTCTGCCTATGTATCGCCAGGGCCTTGCACCTCTGATCTGACCTGTACCCCCGCCCCCACGGAAATAGCCCCTTTCTGGTAAACAGCTCTCAAACGAACAACATTCACAATGTACCGCCAGTTTCACATCATGGAAACCCACTTCTGAAAGCTGAGCTCAAATAAAAGTCAAAGACAGTATTTTCTAAATTCTGTAACTGTGCAATTCTAGCTTTAATATATTTTCCCACCTTCTTTACTGAAAAGCTATGTTTCAGCTTGAGAATGTCGTAGTTCAAAGATGCCTTCAGGTTTTTCTCTGCTGGCCTTTAATTTCTTTCAATTTATTCTCACCACTTGACTTTCCCCCCTCCCCTTTTCTCTATGTAATTTATATAAACATTTATATATAAAGTTTTACGCTTTATTTTAGTGAAGTCACATACTTGGAAAAGTGTATTTGGAAAAGCTCTAGAATTTGTTTCTACCTTTTACATTTATATTGTTACATTACACATTAAAAAGGTGTCTTTAAAATTAAAGATCCACAATGTGAAGTGGATTTGGTAAGCTTATTTATTTCTGGAGATGAGCTTTTGATGACTGGCAGCTGAGAATCATGTTTCAGCCACCTCAGTGTGAAAGTAACTCCAGACTTCAACAGCAAGGGAAATACATTTACACCTAAATGCCTGCTTAAAATTCTTGTCTGAGAAGTTTAAAATTATGTAAAACACAAGGAACATTTCTTAAATCCTATGTAAATCCTGTTTCAGCCACACATACAGATTATCACTAACTTTTTTTTTTAACCTGCTAGCTTTAATACATTTAGGAAAAATTACCTTTGTGAAAGACATTTTGCTGTTGGACTAAATGTCTTTCCAAAAAAGAGGTGCAAGAATATCTTATATAGCCAACTGTTTTAATGCAATGGCCTATTCTGGGAAAAAGCAAAGCAGTAATTAAAAACGGAAATAATGTCTAGCTCTGCAGTACGGAATGCTCTGCAGTAGGGAACCTACATGGCAATGGATCTACAGAGTAATTAAATGTCCACTTGTGTGGCCATGATAGCAAGCAAGAAACCAATTAAAGCTGCTGATGAAATTTTTCTACTGATGAAATCACTGTCTACAGCACGATGCCAAGAAATTCAAGGAGAAATAGGTGCTGAAAGGCCGCTGCAATTATCTGGAGAGATTATTAAGATAAAGATAATGCAACTTCAGGAAGTGCCTGTGAGTATTTGTACATCTCCATGTGCTGCCAGAAAATCTACCAAATGTTTGTTTATACACCAGACAGGTTTGTAGAACTAAAAATTGTTTTCTAAACCTTTGATACTGGAGAGTAAACCTAAAAGGCTAGCGAACGTGACATTTACTAGTGGTAAACAAATGCATTCCGTATCACTTATTACTGTCAAAGTCCATTTATTCCCAATTTATGTGTCTATATGTCGTCACTCCAGGATCAGGGGAGGGAAGAGAAGAACATGTGGCCAGGGTCAGGAAGGAAGCCACGACCACAACAAAACCAATGTAGTTTGTTTTACATTGCTGTGGAACTAAACTTTTATAGGGATGGATTTTACACTAGCATGAAACTACAGCCTAAAATTAACATGCATCCAACTTCTGAAATGATTCCTGTAGTCCACCTCACAGGTGGATCTATTACATGATTCCTTTCCCAGTCAATTTAGGGTTGTCTCTGACCCTGATGCCCTTCTTCCCACACTGCTTATTCACTCTTCCCCCTGCCCAGTATTGCATTCTCTCTGGGAAAAGTTACAGTACACGGAACGAGACAGATTATGATTAATTTTATATCATTAGCAGGTTTAAGGTCTCCTGTCTGTGAGGTAGAAACAGCTCCTTCACTCCCAACAATAACTGGTAAAACAACAGGCATGCCTCTGGAAAGCTCTGAGGAAATTAAAGTCTCTGAGTCCTGGAAATGCATTAGAAGATGAAATGCTCTGAATCTGCCTAACCCTCTGGACTGCCAAGATTGTTTTGGATGAGATGGAAGGGGCGGCAGACCCCTGGAGGGCAGTGGGGTTTAAAACCTGGCTGTCACAAACCAACAGGCAACCTGAAGGCAATTCTTGAGAGTAATCTCATCTCACAGTATCTCACACTCTTTGCCGCTTTGAAACCTAAAATCCCCCAATCTTCTAAAATGTGCAAGTTTTGAGAAAGGCTGCTATTCCCACTAAAATCTGTGCAAGCCAGGGGTTGCAAAACAAACTAAAAAAAGCCTGAATTGAAGTACTTCAGAGATCTTTGGCAGAAACTCACCCTTTTCTCCATTTCCAAGAGTGATCTGTCAGCAAATCTTTCTTGTCTCTGAAACACAAAATTAATAAAGATGTTTGTACTTTTTCTTAAACAACATAAAACTGAGGAAAAAACAATGCAATTGGACATTTGAGCATTCTCTCCATGTATGTCTTCAAAAGCATTTTAAAGTGTGGTGAGGGAAGTAACACTAAAATAAAGAATAATAAGAACGAACTGGATTTAGCACGCGCTTCCTCCATGACCATCCCCAAATAATTTAAACCCTACGTATTTGGCAAACAGGAGTAACACAGTATATCTATCTAAAAGCATTACAAAACACACATCTTTTTAATGCACTTCACTGATATTTATGGAGTACACGTGGAAGACACACAAGTACTAACACAGGTGAATTGTGGCAAATGTGATCTGAGAATAGGAAACACTCCTTCTGCAGCAATTCATGATGAATTTTACTTTTGTGTACGTATGTGGTGTTACTGTATGCAGCACTGACAGCAGTTATCTGTAACTGGAGTGCACTGTTTGCTTTCAGTCAGCTCTAAGATTAAGCTCTCTAATCAGCCAGGAAGAACTGGCCGGTTACGCCAATCTGCCAGCAGGTTCATGAATCAACGATCAAACAATTCATGAATCATGATCAATCTACACAGGCAGTTTGAATGTAAGCTTAGCAGTGTAGAAAGTGTTTCTCTCTACCCCGCAACGAAGTTCCAGATACATGCTGGCAAGAACCACTACTACTTAAATAGTAAGGCAGTCTCGCACGTTTTGTTTACAGCTGGAGATCAGAATCCTGAGCTCTTTTCTCTTTAGAAACAGAGAGGTGCTCCTCTTCCCTCCCATCTTTGGATAAGGAACAAGGCTGATGCCCCATAAAGAGCAGCCCACAGCCTAGGGTGCTTCTTGTTTGCCATCTACTACGTCAGCTAAGTACACACTTCTTTTTTATTGTTTTATACAAACCTGAGTGGTCTTCTCCAACTGTAGCTTAAGATCTGTAAGTTCCATGTTGGTATCATGTAACTGTGCTTTCAGTTTTTCATTTTCAGCTAGAATCTGTTCATAAAGCTAAGAGAAAATATTCATTAAACCCCTCCCAAATAATAATTCAGTGGATTAGCTGCAAATTTAAAAACCATGATTGAGCTGCATGTAAAATGAACAAATACATTAACAGCCCAAGAAGTAAAAATCAGTTGTACATTTTAAAGATATTTAGAATTAGCAAGGACTTTAAAGAACTGTTACCAAATACTTCTAGAAACAAGCAACTTTGCACAGGGAGCACGTAACTTACCTTACAGATACTAAAAAAGATACTTGTCACTTTTTTTGCTTCGGACTTCACAGATTAGTCACCACAGTAAACCTTTCGACAAACTCCTCCTCTATTTTAAAGCAAGGTCTAAACACATTTTCATGTTACATGTAAGCTAGCAAACATACAAACCAAAAGGCTTCAAAATGTGTAAAGCAGTTTCAATGAGACAGTCAACTAAAAAAATAATACAATGCTATGTGTCATAAAAATGGATCTTGGCTCTTCTGGATTTCTCCCTTGCCTTGAAAACTGCAAAAGCCAGAAGCTGTTTTGTAATGTGCATTTACCCCCACTGTAGTGGTTGCTCTGTTCCTCCGTTCAGCTCAGTTGCTTTAAGCAGCGTTTGCGATGCAACGTGAGATTATTTCCAGACGATTTATGAAAACCAGTAATAAAGTTCTATTTTCACAGCAAAATGGCTAGATCAGATACCTTCTTAAAATCAGTGCTATCTTCTTTTTCTAGTCTACTGCAGTACGGTTTTCGATCTTCAAGGTAGCTCTGTGAGCCCGATCGCCCCTGTGCTGAATCATAACGATCACCCGAAGACATGCCGAGGGATCCCGTATCATACCTGTCAAATAAAAGTTCTTCATTTTCTTTGCTTTGGCGATTCTGTGTGAAAATGTTTTCAAATTGCTCAGTCTGCCAAGTAAATGCCTGACTTGTACGCAGAGAAATGTTTTAAATTAAATTAAAATATTTAATTCAAGCAAATATTTACGTGTCTTCAAGGACTTTGTATTAGCTTAGATACTTTAATTGGTTTTTATTTATAAAGAAGACTTGTTTTAAAAAAAGGCATTACTTTCATTGAGGGTTTTTTAAAAAAATCTCAAAAATATAAGCCTAGGTGAATTCTCCAAGTTTTATCAGAGAAACCAAGGAGATTTCAAAACTGCTCATTGTGAATTCCAGTATTTTGACAGAAGCAGTTAATGAAAAAATCTTCAGCAAAGCCTCTATTCCTATTACTCAGTAAGTTCCAACCACTACTAATAAACTTTAGAATAATTTCACACTGTTCACTGATCATGTGCTGCAGTGGTTCTATTTAACGGATTTTCAGCACATAATGGAACATAATAAAACCCAGTAACCAATTCTAAAGGTCTGAAAACAATTGAAAACTTTTTAAAAGAATGTTTGATATTTCTGCATTTCCTTTAACAAATCTTCAGGAAATCTGCTTTTCAGAGGCTGCAGTACTTTCCTTGAGATTCCTCAGAAAATTTCAGCAGGTTATTCTAAAAAAGGGGCAACAAGAAACTCTTGTCTTCTTCGTAAAAGTTGGCTGCCAACTGAAAAATCTGTAGGGAATGGGACTGTATCCACTGTGTTCTACAGAACGCCCAGCCTGCCTCAGTGCACCACGGAGTCCGGTATATTCCGCAGGATGGAGCATCCCCCCGGCGCACAGAAAAGACATTCAGTGTTGTAGCCTCACGATCGCATTTCATACAAACGTGAAATATCATCAACGCTTTTAGTCAGCCTAAGCCGAGCACTGGGCTTAAGCTGAATTTGTACAGAAAGAGTTTAAAATGAGACTAGGTGAACAAAAAGGGTAACAATTTTAAACTGGGTTGTTTAAACTGCACGTACCTTGAAAGGCTATCGCTCTGATGGGGGGGAGAGAGGGGTAGAAAGAGAGAAAAAGAATAGATCAAGTCAATAATTTCATTAAATAAAACATAACAATCTGTGAACAAGTACAGCTAAACAGTTAGGTTAAATGCACACGCTATCCAACACTATGTACTACCTCAACACTGTCACGCTTCAATTCTGTTTTGTCTGGAACAAAAAAGGAGTATGTGCTAGAATGTGCTTGCCAAAATATGATTTACAAGGACGTTAACATTACACTCAAAACGTCTGGACTGTCCCAAACACTGTCATTTCATCAGTTGGTGCATTCTGCAATTTGCCTGCCTGTTATCAAAGGCAGCAGAACTGTGTTCCCTGAATTCCCTATTCTTCCTTCCTCTTCTCTAACTTGAGCAATAAGGTTTTGAAAGGTCAACATAATAATGACTTCGGCTGAAAATAATAATATAGAATACAAGACAATAGTTTCAACATAGTTTGATGGGAAACGAGCTACTACACTGACAACATAAGAAAGTACTTGTTAGACTTAATTTAAATGACTTAATTTCTTTTTTTGGTCTTAGGTTAATTCATTCGTTCGTTCATTCATTCCAGGTGAATTCACAGGCACACAAGTTCACTCACTTCACTTGACAAGTGAAATTTAATTAGAAGTGATGACTTAAGAGTGAGGGAGTGCCCTCTAAGCATTACATCAGGCGTACAAACCTTTTTCCCCTCTGAGTGGTCAGCACAGACTGATCATTAATTCCACTTATAATACTCTTGAGTGAAGACATTTCAGTCAAGAATCTCTACTGACGTCTCGTCACCCGGACATGCTCCACCGTTATTCACCTAGCAGTGGCTGGAGCCTTCCCCTACTGGGGGTGCTGTGGTTTGTTTGATTTCCTTTTTTAGAAGGACACTGTACCTTTTCAATATGCATAGAGAAAAATAGCCGCATCCTCCAAAATACGCTCGATTTCCCCTTGAGGGATTTTGTAAAACCTGTCACAGTTAGGTAGCACACACCTATACAGGGATAGCATTTAAGCTATTGGCCACAAGATTAACGGAGTCTAATCTTGCATTATCATGTTTAATTAAGATCAGTGTGAGATTACGGAATTCCACCACGTAGTCAACGACCTACAAAAATCCCTTTCCACTGCTTCCTTCTCACCTCCACAAAACAGAGGAAGTTTTGTCCATAAAGACTTCAGGTTTTCTCTTTTTACCTGGAAGGGATGCTGCACACAGCAAAATGCTATGCTGGTTCTTCTAACCTTTACCTACAATCCAGGACAGCCAGGAAGTAAACCATTCCTACATTATTTCTTAACAAATACTCTTTCTAAGGGCTGTTTTTCTTTGCTTCCATGGGACTTCCCATGGTGCCGTGGGAATGTGAAAACCTCCCAGATGTCCATTCCCCTGCTGCACTATAGCTTCCTGAACGGAAAGGCAAGTTATTAAGCCACCTACAGACCATCCCAGACACAAAATTTTCCAGCTACAGAAGGGGGAGAACAAATGAAGTGGTGAGGTAAGAGAGCACTAATTACTAGAGGCAGGAAAACACACACATAGCCCATTCCCATTCTCCTGGCTGAGACTGGGAACCTGAGAAGACAGACAAGGACTCTGCAGTCTTCAGAAAACTGCCCATCAGTGGTTTCCACTCCCTGAAAGCTGCGAACTCCTGCTCCTGCTGTTCAAGCATCCACCCACACCGCATTGAAAGAGTTCACGTTTCCCAGGCACGTCCCTGTCCTCGCTCCCCTCACTTTTCACAAAACAAGTTTGGGTTTTGGGGTTTTTTTTAGGGCAGCCTTAGCTGTTTTCTTTCCTTTTTCCACTTCGATTTCTGTCAGTTCAGTTCAGTCACAACTTTTGATCGTTGACAAAAAAGCTGTGAAAAGGTGTAAGTCTACAAACTTGGCATAAAGCTTGAGGAGAAACAATGTCAACAGGGGTATCGCCGTCATCCAAGGCACGCGAAATGGATGTTCTTCGTACCTTCACAGAACTGAGCAGCCACAATTACGCTGCCATTACACAAGCAGGAACGAAAAATTACAACACACGTACCCTTATCTACGCAACCTGAACTAACACTTCTAACCCTTTGCCCTCGGTCTGCACAGACCATAAGGGTGCCCCAAAAGAAACTGTGTATTTGAAACTGCACCCTAAGCTTCCAGACAGGCTTGTTACCTTTCAGTGAGGTTAGGGTGATTACTCTTAATGTAAATAAAATATCAAAGTCAGGTGGGATTTTCCATACTGTTAAAACTGAGTTATAAATAAGTAAACGCCAGTTTCTCATGTTTATTACCAAAGAATTAGAAGACCTAATGACATTTATTATCCTAATATTTATGCCTTTCACCTGTTGGAAGTCACATATGTGATCTCTGGCAAAATAAAATTTCAGTCCATTTAATTATAACCTAATCACAGTGGTAGCACCTATTGAAATCACCTTTTTTTTCTAAAATACATCATACTGAAAAAGAGGCTTCACAGAAACACTCTTTTACTTGGAATCCTTCAGTTTCCTAAGAGCCCTCCTGACCTCCTCACTTTTAAATGGTTATCCCACAACTTAGTTCTAAGACTCTGGGTTTGCAGGAACACCAACTTCCCTTAAGTAACATGGCATTTTTTTGGCATACTGAAGAAATTCTCAGCTCTCAGCATTAAAAGGCCTATATGAAATTTCATCAGAACAACTTCCAACTGTCAAAGTGCTTAGCAAAGTGTGACTTCTCTTTATTGACAAGTGAACAGTTAAGAAGTCAAAAGATAGTTCTGAAGAACAAGAAAAGGACAAACTGAAATCTTACAAGACAGTTCTTTCGAAGACCTCTGAGTAAGATAATATTTCTTCTGATTCCTTAAAGATTTCAAGCAAGAATTATTTTGTCTAAGGTCCTTTCAATTTTCTTTGTAGCATGCACCAATGTGCAAGGCTTGTTCTTGACCTCCTCTCTTTAGTTTAAGTTTCTGAGTTACCGCCAAAGGCCTTGGAAGTTTACAATTACCATCTTCTACCTTTGGGTTGCAGCTGCACCAAGCAAAAAAACCAGCAGCACCACATAAGGAACTAGAAGAGAATTTCAGTATTTCCAAAGGTTCAGTCTTCTGAAAACTAGTATATCAATTAATCAGCACAACTGAAAGAGCATAAATATTTTCTGAGTGTCTTTCATTATAATTCTAGTTTATTCATTGTTCTTTCCTTTTCTCTTCCTATAACTGAAAAGGATTCATAAGCAAATAACGATGAATTTCTACAATAGAGCATGCAAGATTTGTGTCAAAGTGCAAGTAGATTTAGCAACTGCAGAAAGGAAAGTGCAGTTTCTTTGGGCATTTAAAAAAATTAAAAAATACATTTTTTGTCATGGATTTGGGAATAAATTGCTCATTAGAATGTTCAAGATCTATTCCACTGTAATTTTTCTAAGGTAGCAAAATACTACGTTATCAAAAGTAATATAATTCATTCTCAGTTTATCATTGATAAAGGCTAAATAGTTGTTTATCAGAGAGGAAGCTACTTGAAATCCACATGATGTTTTAAATATCTGATAAAACATTTGTATGCAAAGGAAAAAACCCACTGTAATATGGAAATAAATTATTATATAAAAATTTTAAGATTAAGATTTTAAGGATTATAATAATTACAAGGCAAGGACGTTTTCTGCAATTCTGATACCATACTGTAAACTCTGCAGTAGGTTTGACAACATTTGAAAAGAAAACTTCAAACCACATGAAATATTTATTTTGATATTCAACTCACTTTCACTCTGTTTTCGTATTTTCTGCAGCTGAAGTGACAAAAGAGTTTATATCAACAAAGCAAAATCAATTCATGTAGCTAGGGGACAGTGACCTTGTTCACATATAAAATTTATTTCAGAGCTCTCCATGAACTCAAGTTGATACTATTTATAATGAAACAAAGCTACCAGGATCTTTTGTAGGAAGTATGCAGGCTAGGGGAATGTTTTGACTCCTAAGTCAAGCCATGATTAGGCAGCCAATTCTACAATCCAGTACCATGCCACCCCAACACACCCAGCCTTTTAATCATAGATCATACTCATAATTTTGGGCCTGTTTTACCACTATTTACTGTAGTTTTATGAGTCTAATTCTATCAGAAGCAGCACACGCACATTTGACCCAAATGGATTTCTACAAAACAGAATATGGAATAATTACAGATCTAAGGATAACGATATGTACAAGTGGGAGGAAAAGAAAACAGGACTATGTACTTATGTTAATGTGACAAGGAAATAAAAAATGCAGGAAACCAAAATGGCACAGAATTAATCTCTTGACTAAAATATTTAAGGAATGTGTAATGGAAGCTTTTACAAAAAGGAAACATCACTTGATTTTTTTATTCCTCAGTAAAGACCCTGATTCTGTAGTGTGTTACTCCAGGGTTTAGGTCAAAAGAAATACATTCTGCTATACCATTTTCTACTAGAGCTGAAGCCATTGCTTCCCTTTTAACCCCCCTTCATCCCACTGTCAGGCACCACTGAGTTTACAAAGACTTTTTCCATCAAATCAAGCCTATTACACTGTTTACCACTTACTTTTTAACAAGACTACTAACAGTGATTTAGGATGTTCAGAAATCCAGTTTCTTCAATGGATAAATCAGGCAAATGTTTCTCTTCAACTTTCCATGGGTTTTTTTTTTTTACATTAACTTCTTATGTTATTTGTTAATTAAATTATTGACAGCAATGGCTTTAAATTTAAAAGGTTTTAATTAATGTGCATAAGCCACTGGACATCCTTTATCTGAAAATAACAGAGCAGATGAACAAAGACTTTTGCAAGGTAGAGACTGAAAGCTCCCTCTGGTAACTTGCTGCTACATACCCTGACCTGTGTGTCAGAAATGTCACCTGCATTTTCTGAGCACTTACTCTACATAATCAGAATGGAAGATAAAAACGCCAGGTTTAGCCATTGTTAATACATTAAAAATTGTTATTAAAGCCGTCAAAGGAAATGGCACTGAATCATGGCCCCAAGTTATAAAACAGAAAGCACTCATACTAACTGTACTATAGGTGCTCTTTTAATTGAATCCCACTGCAACACAAATTTTGTGACCAAATATATCTGTTAGAAAGCTAATACATGATCTTTTTTAAATTACCTGAGTTTCCTTCTTATTTGTTCCTTCTTCTGAATCAGATTGATGTTCCTGTTCATTTTCATCACTCTGGTGAAAGAAGTAGGAGAGGAAAAATAATTAAGCTGTTGAAAGCTTACTGGGTTTTTAAGGCATTCTAGACTTTTAATGTGAAAATCTAAGAGCTAACTAAAATGTAAAGGAATATATGGGATATATGATGAAAATTCTCAAACAAGTACACATTTTCAGCACCAGCAGGAGAGGAAAAAGAACTGGGCACATGGAAATCATGCTTTTACATAATTAGATACTGATCCCATGACAAAGAAAAGGGAAAGGGAATCGTCTGGAACATCAACTATAACCCTTCCATCTGACAGCAGTTTTTTTGGTTCTAAGTACATGGCTCCTTGAGTGTGCCAGACAATGAATGAGTCTCATTGTTACAGCTTTGGTAGACATGCAATAGAAAAGATTTGTTCAATTATTCCTATTAAGTTATGGTCATTACAGCAGTCTAGGATTCTTTTTAGCATTATCAATATAACTTAGACTTAATTTTGATTTTGCTCCTGAAAGCTTCTAAAGAGAGAACCAAAGAATAAATAACTTGAACAAGCCCAGTTTTACCAGAACAATTAGTTACATACTGCATTACTCTGAACTACTCTTTAATTTAAGTATACATACAGCTACAAGCTAAGGCTATAAATCGCAGTAACAGTTGTTTACTTACGTCTTGAGTCCAAAAAGAAACTCCTGTAGATCGTCGTTTTTCTCTTGGTCGCCGCCTTTCCCTTATAGACTTAGGCTGTGACTTATCTTCTTCCTTTTCTTCCTCTTTTTTGCCCCCTTCTGTTAATAACAACTTTCTTATTCATTTAAGTATGGCACAATCTGAATTTCTGAAAGTTTTCTGAAATACTTCTCAGTCTTTAAAATGCTTCCAATTAACATTTTTACCTGAAATAAACTCACTAAAGAACTTCTTACCACATACAGGGTTTGCTGTAATACACATTCCTCAGAACACAGCTCTAAAATACTGTAAATATTGTTCCAATTCTTGAACAGCAGCTGCAAAATACTAATTCCATCTCAGCCACCTAAACAAAATGTTGCAATGTAACAGTAATACACTGCAAATGGGAATTAAAATTCAGTTTTCGAAACTGTTACGTAACAATTCAAACATCCATGCCAGCAGATGTGTAAAAGTACAAAATAAGAGAAGATAATTCTTCAACACTCTTCATTTAATCTGATCCTCTGTATAACAAAGTTACTGATTTCAGTCAGTAATTCTACTCAAGTTACTGAATCAGTAACTCGAATTAAAGTGTTTCTCCCAAGTAACTGCGGCATGCCTCTGAGAGACCACACTGTATGTCAACAGCTGCCTCCTCCTCTGACAGGCGACAAATCAGGCACAACATCTCTCAGAATTATAGCAGGTGATTCACATTGAAATGAGGGCAAAACCCCTGTGACATCAGAGATAAGCTTTCTTCTGACCTCTGAATCACACATCTGATTCTCATCTTAAGATTAGATAAATCAGTGAAGTGTCTAAAGTGTGGTTCCATTAAATATTCTGAACTGAAAATATCCCTTTCCTTCGGGTTTCAGCTGCTCATGAAACCATGAGAGGTCCTTAAAGCATCAAAGCATCGTTCCAATCCTTCAATTCTGGAAGGACTGAAGCAAAACCTCAGTTATTTAGCAACTATTTAACCAAGTAAAATCCCTCCTCAATACCTGCACGTATTTAAATTCTGAAATGTGGTATTTTATTACAGTTGCTGCGTTAAAGCAGACAATGAAAGCATTATGTGGATACTGACAGCAGTGTATTTGATGTTTCTATGGCCCACCAACAGAAAATCCAGATTCACAGACTAAACCAGCTGCAAAACACCACCAAGGACAGAAGATCTCTTCTCCACTCTACATGCAAGTTCTGGAACTTCTTACAAAAGATGGGAGTAAGATCCATCCCCAGTGGCCTTACATATCTCACCCCATTTTGAACTACCTTTAGAAACATAAGCTGCCTTTTGTCAACTAAAACAAAAAAACCCCCAACCCTTCACAAATACTATTCCTACCTCTCTCACTTTCCTTTGTTCCGCTCCGAGAATAGGCCGAAGTTATACCTATAAGGCTGTTTGGTCTGTTTAGCTGACTTGAAGCTGAAAGAGAGCTAGCAGAGGTGGACAGCGAAGAGGTGGATGATGAAGAAGTTGAAGTCGAAGTTGGTCTGTAGCGATGATAGGGCTATTCAGCAGAAAAATGGCAAAATTAATTTACCAAGATTAAACAAATGTAAACCACAGGGTATTAAAATATCTAAATATGTAAATAATTCTTATAGCAGTACCAAAATTAAAATATTAAGAGTTGGAGTTAAGATTCCCGTAATTTCTCTACCTAAAGAGACCCATCATGAAAATACCTCTTCAACAGTTCGGGAATATCTTTGTCTATAATCATCATCTTTAGTTTCAGATTCTTTCTTTTCCTCTTGCTTTTCTTTGTCTTGCTTTTCTTTCTCTTCTTTTTCTTTTTCTTCATTTTCCTGTTCTCTGGTTCGCGTGGGACGACTTCTTCCTATAGTTTTTTCAGCTTCTTGAAGATCTGTCAGCGTTACACCCTGTGAATACAGCCGTCAGCCAACATCATGTCAATATATCACATCACATTATATAAATACATACTCAAAAAACCCCAAAATTCAGATTAAGAAAATCAATTATATCTATTAAGAAATAATTTTACCTATATATTCTACCTATAAGGTTTCCTCTCAAATCTTGGGACCAAACATGTCTCTTTGATTAGTGACAAGTGCTTGCTGTAATGAGATCTTCGACAGGTTCTCCAGCAACACAACCAGTACATACTGATCTCGTAGAAAATCATACAGAAGTAATTTAAGAACGCACTAGAACCTTCCGATAACATCATAAGCACACTAATTATTTTTGAAAGAACCCTAAAAATACAATACCAGAAATGTTGATACAAATTCACTCACTGCAACTGGATCTTTAGGTCAACAACACATAAAAAATTGACAGCACCAGAGAAACTTGCAACTTAATTCTTATTTCCTTGTTATTCTGAGACTAAAACCTAGTACCATTTAGAGCTGACCTATTCTGTTACTGTCACATCCTACCCTGGGTCAGGACTGCCCTGGCTGCATTTCAGTATGAGGCAGTTGTGACAGAAATTGGGAAGAACCACCCAATATATCAGTATGTAAACGCTGAAAAGACGACATACAGTTAGATTCTAGATTATTAGTAAGTAACAAAAAACTCTTTTCCTTAGTATCCTTCTGTGTCCACAGAAACCAGGTTGAACGTATTTTTTTTTTATGTCACGGATCTTACTAGCTATCCGTATGTGGGTCACCTCAATCGTATTATCTTTAGGAGTCCATGCACAGAAAAAAGACTTAGAAATGGAAGTAAATACAGTACACTCTGCCTATATCTCAGGTATGAAGGCTTCAGCCAGAAGCATATAGGTGTTAGTTCTTGAAGAATCCAAAGTCTTACATTTAAATATCTACGTAACATCCGATACAGAGTAAGCCATTTTACCATAATGCAATCAAAAACTTCCTTTCACAGTGGAGGAGTCTGTGCCTTCAAATTTGTATGAAGTCACTCTTCAGTGATTAGAAAAAGCAACTTTCAGTACATAATGAAAGATCCTAAAGCTTTCAGGGAAGAAAGGAAAAATATCAGAAGACGCTTTATCCCATCTGGTACAATTTGTTTCATACCAGGAAGACCCATCAGCTTATTTGGAGCTCTACTGGGAAATTAAAACTTCACTGTACTCAGGGAGCTACATGGGTATATTTTCATAAATGTAGAAGCTGTAACAAAACTATACCTGTGTAGATCTTCTAGACTGTCTTGCTTGCCTGGATCTAGCTTTTCTTTGGGACTCTGACTCTTCATCTCGTACTGGAGTGAGGTATGATCTAAAGAGTTAATTACAAATAAAATTGGCAAATGGTAATTTTTGTACAAATGAATTAAATTGTCAGAAAAAAATCCCACAACATGCTGTGACTGAAAACCAAAGCAGTTAGAAGATCTTAAACTACAGAAGATGACTTAACATTTTGGACATTACATTTTTCATCCACACCATAATGATCATCGAGATAACAGCTTTACAACTCAAGTAAAATCCAGTGTTTTCCTGCTTAATTTAGATTTGGTTTTACCATTTTCTCTAAATATAACTTAAGCTTTTTTGGTATTTCACTAGTCCGTTAACAAAGGGGTAGAAGACCTCAGAGATTCAGCCAGCTACATCTTTGTACATAAAATATGTGTGTGTGTGTATTAACTTTCAACATAACTTGTAGGCTTTTAGAAAAAGCTAAATGTACTGCTAATAGAGAAACCCAAATTATACCATCTATTGCACCCAAGATTAAAAATCCTTGAGGAGGTGGTTACCCTATTTTCACGTGAATCACCCATACTTTGAGTAATCCACCTCCACTTGAAACAAATGTGCTTAAAAATTAATCCTCATGAAAGCCATAAAAATCCTGCAGAGTAAACAGGTAATTGTAATCAGAGCCAAAAGGCTGCTAGAGTAGACAAAAAAGGCCTGGACTCTTTAAAGAAATTCTCCAAACCAGGTAACTGGAGTAAAAAAGGAATGTTGCTGTAATGTAACTTATTAAAAAAAAAAAAAAAAATTAAAGAATTATCTTTTAAAGGTTTAATCTAAGGATTAGCTAAACATTAGAAAAATCTGAAAAAGCAAAATCAGAAGGTTGCTAAAAGGTTACTTAAAACAAAAAATATCTGAGCTTTAGATCATAAAATTAGCTACATTAAAAATATTAAGAGTCAGATTCTGTAATATTTTCTGATTGTCTATATTTTTAAATGTATTTTTAAATAATAAAATCTTGACTGGCTAGTGAATGTGAATATTTTAATAATATGAATAATTGGCTAGTAATTGTGTTCGAAAGTTATCACCTTCTAACTCTTAAAACATTTATCTATAGAAAGAACAGTTCTTTGATCACCTATGTATATATTTGTTACGCTTAGTACACACTAAAAACAGTTGTAAAACAATTTTAAGGTTTTAAAATATCCTTCAGTTACACAGACCTATGGATTAGTACCCATGTTCTATCTCCACTAAACAAATAACCCCCCAAAACACAGGAAAACATTTATAAATAGCTGCTATATTTACAAATGTAGAAGCATCCCCCATCTTTATGATACATCTAAAAAAAAAAAAAAAAAACCAAAAAACCCCCCAACATTATAGTAATTTGATTTCCTTATCCTGTTCTCTTGAAAACAGCATTATTGATAGATTTTCCATTTTCTAGAGCCCTGGACCCTATCCAGACTGGAAAACGGGCGCCTGTTAGCTGCTTTAGCTAACATCATCAGAAATACTACCTACCTAGGATGCTTTGATTGCAGAGAGGGTGTAATCCTTAGGGCTTCAAAATTTCTACAGATTACTCCTTATAACTTGCTCTTTAGTAACTGGTATACATAACTTACCCTCCAATAAATCTGAAATACTTTACACCTCACTGAGGAAAAATGACAACTCTCAACTTACCAGGTGCATGCTACTGCTACCTGTCAGAGCAGAAAGTGCCCTTTCCTAACATCCCTTGCATATGCCTTGATTGAAAGATTCAAGTTTGCCACTCTCTTCCTGGTTTCTCTAAACCAACCCTAAAAATTAGGAAAGTATAGCTTCTTCAGCTATTTTAAAAGGATGCCACCATTACATGCATCATTACTAAGAATACCTTATAATGGGTTTACTTTTCAAATATCCTTTCATATACTATTCCAAGTGTACTTTCTAAATACACACTTTCAGTCTATAAATATGGATTAACCGACTTCATTTCTTAAGAAAATATTTAGCATATAATATTTCATATACAGACGAGCTTTCCATGTGCATATGAATATACACAGATACACACACGCACATATATATATGTATCTGTATATGTACAGATAGATATGCATGTGCTGATAGTTAGAGCACTACCTTCTCACATGCACACAGTTATTATTCCAGTCTTGCTCATTTCTAAGACTTAACTGATCTCTTAATATGCCATCAAGAATGCATCTGCAAGAGCATATTACACAATCAGCCCAGAATTAGATAAAAGCAAGGAATTTCAAGCCAATCGCAGGTATCCAAAACACATGTAGTATATGCGCATTAGTATACACACACTTGTGATAGCAACTGAGACAGCAAAAGCCTTAATTCTAAATTTCGTTGCTTTTCTAGCGCATGAGACTGAAACAGCATTTGCATTTTAAAATTGGAACTACTTCTGAAAAAAAAGATGCATTTTGTTGGTTTTCCTTTGTTGAGTTCCGTGAAATTTCACTATGGAAAATGCAGGTTTCGACTCCGGTTGTTACTGAAATGGGCTGCAAGCACCTCAGGGCCTAAACAGGCCCAAACCCATGAGAAATATTTAAATATTGTTGCTGACTTAGGTGAATCAAAAGAATCCAGGTTTCTCCTGTAACAATGAACAGTCATCACCTCTGTGCACACAGAGATACACACATCTGGCACTGATACAGGAGTTGCAATTTCAAAACTACTATAGGAGCAACACAGAAATCTGAACTTGCATTTCAGCAGAAGGGTTAAAGGATAAACTTATAAATATCCAGAAGAATAACCCAGGGAAAGCTAACAGGAATTAGCAACCTTATGAAATACTACTTTTGCTTCCATGAACAGCAGGTAACAAGTCTATAGAAATGTACATATGCACCAGTCTTAACTCATCCTCCATGTAACTGTAACAGAAGAAACACTGTATTCTAAAAAATAAGATTTACATCAGATTCTTCTGAACAGCTCTTAAACCACTGCATTACAACCATGTATTACGTGTCAAAGAGAAGAGACCGTAAGCGATGCAACGAAATAAGGAGAATGTGTTGGGTTCGATACTCTTGCCTCAGTAGTGCCAGGCACGCAACGTGACTGAAAACACACTACGTTGCAACGCACTAGCATACCGCCCCCGGCACAGGAGCTCAGTCAGCAGCAGTGCACTTGCAGCGAGTCATTAATTATTGATTTCCTTATTTTCAGTTGAGTATTTTCACAGTTTCATTAGTGGTATTTTTAAGAAGACTCATTTAATCTCTTGGCAGAAACACAAATACACGAATGCTGCATACCAAATGTGAGCCCGAGGCCAGTCAGAAATACACAGTATCAAAGTTTAAGTTTCATGAATGGTCTCTTACCAGTACTACACTTATGGAAACTGAGGCACACTGCTAGTTGTTTCAATATACAGGAAGCAAAGAACACTGCTTTACATACTGTACTATCCAAATCTGTGGTAACCAACACATTCCTTTAAATAAGAAAAAAAATAAAACTTTGGTATAAGAGCAACAGTACTCTTAAGACCTTTACACACCTCCGTCTCTCCCTGACCTCTGATGTTGAGGACACAGTGCCAGAAGTAGCTGTAGTCATGGCTGTGGTAGTGGCTGTAGCATTTACAACAGATGGTGCAACAGGAACGGTCACTGCTGTAGGAACACTGTCCTTTTCTTTCTCAGTACTATCCTCAGCCCACAAACGATTTGAGGTACTACAGCGTAACAAGCAGCAACACAAAAAAAGAGAAAAGGAAACAGCTAAACAATGAAAGCACTTTACTAAACAACTAATAACATGTAAATTGAGGGATGGATTTTTTTTAAAAGCAAACTGAGAAATGTCTCTACTGTGAAAGCTCAACTTGAGCTATTAAATTGAATAAATTAAGAATTGAGCAGTCCACAATAACTGAACTTTTATTCGTCACACACTTCTAACATTGGATTTATTCTTTTATACCAACATGGCTGTCACTTCACAGTAGAAAGCCACTCACCATTTTTGAGCCAGATTGTATAAAATTAAAACGAATTTAATGGGAAAGTGAAAAAATCCAGAGCCCCAGGATCTACTAAACAAGAACGCATGCACATACATAAGCACACAGTAGACCTGACAAAAACCAAAAAAAGGAAAAGAAGAGGTGTGCTGGTGCTATTACCTGCTCTGTACACCCGCTGAAGTAGAACCCGTTGTACTCTTTGTAGTAGTGTTTGTGCTGGCAGGCAGTGTTTTCTGAAGACCAGCAGAAGAGGTAACTGTTGATGCAGTACTTGGAACATTAGAACTAATCAAATCATCTTGTCTTCTACCAAAGGAGCCACTGAAGGAGAGACATGGACAACAGATGCATTCGTATTACTTATCTTTGCTATTTAAAATATCACAATGGTGTAGATGATGATTAAATTCCTGCCCGTGTATTCTGTGTCTCAGTTGAGTCTCAGAAACTTCTGGCATAAAAGAAGCATTTTCAAAAGCCATTTTCTTCACTATTTCCTTGATTACAAACTTTCCATTTATGACTTCAGAGAGCAGCAGAAGTGTCTCTTAGTCCTGGCCATTTGTCCAGAGGAAGAGGAGGCAACGAATGGAATTTCACTGGTTTAACTGTGACAGTCTTGCTCTTACCTACTCTGAAGTATTCATCTAGGGCCCCATTTTTAAACTGCTGTTTCACCCACACTGAATATCTCAGAAAATACAGAATTTTACCCCACAGCTTGTCAGAAAAGAAAATGTCATCAATATCACTCCTCTTATAATTTTCAACAAATTAAATGTACTACCTTTTGGGGTTTTTTTAAAACTTTAATCATTCCCAGAAAGATTAACCTCCCACTCATGCTTTTTCCTTGCTGCTGAAGCTGTAAAGAAGATTCATTGGTTCCTGCATCTTTAGTCATTGGTTCTGCCTGAACAATTTTTGCACTACCAGGTCAGGACACTTGCCCGTGACTAAACCTCAGAATCCACAGTTATGACAGACAGAGCATCATATCACTAACTGCAAAAGACAGATAGAAGATGCTTCTTTGTCATTCAGTAATTGATCATTTTTTGTATTACTATCCATTCTAAAATGACAAAGAAAAAAATAACTGTACAAGAACAACTCAGAAATACACCACTAAAGCACCACATGCAATTTAAAAGCGACGGGTACATTTTGTTTGAAGACTAGAACACTAACAGTGACAAAAGCTAACATTCAAGATTGTTCTCATGTAACAACTCTTGGTATTTTCCAACCAGGAAACCTGCGCAACACCCTTCCTAAACCTAAAGTTAGGAAAATTGAGTTTTCTTCTTAAGGCAGGAGATCAACAAAGATGTAAGACGCATTATGCCATATGAAACAGCCCGACTACATGCCACTGACAGCATCAGTGTCAAGACAAAAAACCAAGTTAAGTATCCCTCACCACAGACATCATCAGCACATATCAATATGCAGCTTAGCTACCTGAACAACAATCTTTTCTTTTGATCTATTCATTTTAGGTATGTATTGCTCCACTAATTGCTCCACTAATTCAATGAAGAACTTTATTCACATAGCTACATTTAAAGTACACAATCGAGTAAAGTTAATCATGTACATATTTTCAGGATATGATTTCTTCTGAGAAAAATCCTGCAAGATAGGAAAGGTACCACCCACACACCCCTGAAAATGATTTTCATATTAATAATTATTTACTTTGCATTCAAGTTAGCTTTATGTATGCATTCTATGATGCTGACACTCAAGGCAGGTGTGGCTATAATCTCCCATAATGGAGAGCAGCCCAAGACCTCTGACACTATCATGCAAACCCAAAATTCGATACAGAAAATTATTCTTCCCATTTTCTTTACAGAGAGGAAGCAGAACTACTTCTATTCCAACATATAAAATAGTTATCTTTGGCTACTGAACTAATCTGGAAAGAGTCAAAAGAACCTCAAACTGAAATAAGCAGTAGGAAAAAGGAAGCATATAATTTTAATTACACTGCAGTTGCAGCAACAACTTAAGCCAGTAAAAATGATGTAGCTTTAAAATCAGCATGAGCATTGCAACAGCATAAGTACATACTCTGCAATTACTATGAATAACATTTCAACATGTCACCATCCAATATTAAACTGTCCTTACCAAATGATTCAGTACCTAATTTGTTTCTTTTAATTTGTAAGCTTATTTTGACAAAAAAGAAAAGATCAGAGAAATCCCCACACCTTCTTTGATAACTTGTGTTTAACGATGTAGGGCCTTCATTCAAACTGTTTTTCTTGACATCTTCCTCCCATTTTCTCCTGGTGTAGGAACTGCCACCACGTATTGAGCTAGCAGACGAGTCCCTGTAAAAAAGAGATTTTAGCAAACTATTATTAGAGAAGATTGTTCTTGACGTGAGCTAAAAAGGAGTTTCAAATTAAAGATCAAAAGCCTGGGTAACACACAAAATAAACATAACTGTGCAGAACAGGAATAAAATGACCTTTACGGACAATCATTTTCAAGCTCCTGTGGAAAAATACTACATTCACACTAACACTCTTAGAAATATAATAGTAAAGTAGCATCAAAAGAAAAATTGCTCAAGAGGATTTAATCAACATGAAATCAATCATCATCTTTTATCTTTTATCCCTGCTGGCTTTGTTTTTCCCAAAAAAGGAAAAAGAGGCTTTTCTGTTTGCTTCTGAGATTACCCAGTGCAATACAGGGAAAACTATTCAGGTTTTTTTAGGAATTGATTTTATGTAATTTTTCATTCTTGGATGCTTTAAGTTCAAAAGCTGACTAGCCTTTAGAACTCGAGATACTGTAGATTAGTAAACAGGACAGCAGTAGCCATTCCTGAGTAGCCTGCCACGCATCACTAGCTGACATTACTTTAGGCATTAGGAATTTGTAGCCTGTTGTTGCAGTTTATAGGAGCAAGAAATAACTTTGCAAAAATCTACTTAGAAAAAACTACCCTGAAAACTGATACCAAGATGCAAAAAACTAATTTTCTAATGGAAATGTCAGCTCAAGATTTCAAGCCAAGTTCAGCTAGAAGGAAGAAAAAAACCCAAAAGGCAACCAGGTGTGCGAGGGAAAATAAATTAAGATTTTGTAAAGATTTATTTTATGTTCAGATACCTTCAGCTTTCAAAATTTAACTCTCTTCGCACAAAAAATTTATGCTAGCACTTCTGTGGTAACAACTTCAGAAAAGTATCAGGCCAACACAGTGTTATCTCTAACCACCAAAGAGAAACACAAATTCTGAGATACCATCTACCACAGAAAGGTCCTGCTGCATGACAAATTTTCTGTAGTTACTGAAGGTTTCCTTTTGCCAAGACACTACAGACTTCAGCACTTCTGCTGTGGCACTGGCCACTCGACTGAGGCTGGATGTCTGAGATTTGTCAATCTAAAAGCCCAGCTGAAATTCATCTTAAAGTCCTTTACACTACTCAGAGTAGGATGTGAGCTGGATTACGCTACATCATTGATAAGCTAGACAAGCAGGTGTTCAGACAGGTAGAACAAGAACCCAACATTAAGATAAGCAACAAGGACAGATAGTTGGAACAAAAGCAGAAACCTGAATAATTTATTAAGGTACCTTTAGGGCAGATGGTTAAAATATCTTACGGCTTTAAGTAAGTAAGCTGGGTTGCCTGCCACACCATCATACACTAGGCCTTGCACTGGTGCCTAAATAGGCTGGCCTAAAAGCAGGCTCTACCTCTGGTACACCAAGGAATGCAGAAAGTTCTCGGGCCAATTGTTTGGTCAGCACTGGGACTAACAAGACTGAGGACATGCATTCACCCAATGCATATGAGGAAAAATAGGCCACTGCTGATACCCATTTTTGGAACTGTGTCTGTGAGTAAGCCATGATGGTTAAGACTGGCATGTCAAGGACACAAATAAACCTCAACACTGGAGCAAAATTGAATCCCTTTGTTATAAGCAATAACAGCTTCTAAGAAATCAAACTGCACTAAAATATTTATCCCAATCTTACGTATCATCTAGTTAAGACACTTTTGGAGAACAAGAGTTTGTGAAAAGATCCCAAAAGACTTAAAAATTAAGTAATAATAATGTCTCATATACAGAAACAAAAACTGGCTAATAAACTCAGCCTCAAAGAATACAGTACTCCAGAGAATGACAAGCACAAACAGAAACTCCTAACTGCCCCGTTACAGTTATACAGGTTAAAAAAACATCAGAGATGCTAACAAACTAAGCGGAACTTCAGGGGAGGAGTGAGAGCTGGAATATCCCTATTTCGAAACAGAATTTATCACCCAGAGACTAATCTTAGGCAACAACATTCCGCAATCATAAGAAATGCCAATATTTATCTTGTGTTTGCGCTGAACAGAACCCTTCTCAAGAGTAGCAACAAAGAAGTGCCTCTTCAGACATAAAGACTGTCAGTCTTATAGACAATGATTATAATAGTACATTTTGAGCAATGAGAAGATTTGCAGCTCCAGTCATCCAACACTGAGCTCTCTAGACAGGATCCAACAGAAACAAGCCATTAGAGAGATTTTAAGTTTTGTACTACGCATTCTGCATTAACTGAAGAAAACGTCAGAGCGAACCTCAATAAAGGAGAAAAGGGAAAAACAGGGAGGTTCTGAAAACGTAAATATGCCATGAAAGTACGCCAAATCCTAACAGCTAACAAGTTATTATGCACCTGAACTTCTTGTTTCTTTTACGCTGAAAGCTACAAAATACCAGCAAAGAAAGTAAAAATGTCCAGAAGAAGATGAAAGGTCAATATGTAAACAAGAAAAATAGAAGAATTGCTTGTCTAACTTAACTGTGGTTTTGTAAATCATTGCTGCTGCACAATAGTTTTAAGCAAAGACTGTAGGACACAGTATTTTATTAATATCAAAAAGTAATAATAGAGCCCAGTAGCAGCACTCCATGGCTCAAGACAAAGAAGGAAAATGTTTCTGGCACCCTGTGATATCTTAAAGTTTATGACTTCATATTTTGGATTTTATTTACTCCCCCAAGAAGAAAACACTCATTGCCCAGTTCTGCTCTTGTCAAAGAATAATTTGGATTTTGAAAAGGGTCATTATAATCTACAAGATCAAAAATCTTCAGGAATTGGATTACCCTATGACTTAGCATAATCTATGGAGCAGGGTAAATGCAATAAATTAGCATCGTCTTAAAATCTGTAAGTTTGCCAGCCACTCTAAAATTATGTATTTTTATATTTACAGGAATTGTAACTTCAGAGTTACCTGTTTTCTTTTTCATCAATGTCAGAGGTACTGGCCAGTCGTCTTGGTATTGTAGGTGCAACATAGGCAAGTCTAGTTCCTTTCCCATCTTTCTCCTGAAAGACAAATATTTTTTTATTGTTACTATTATTCATTATATTGGATGGAATATCATAATTATGACAACTTCAGCTGTATTTATAGTGAACCGATTATACAAAGGAGTTTTAAGCTTAGGTAAATATCACGCAGACTACAACAGGAAAAGGAAACTGTTTATGTCTTCATTCTAGTGATACAAATGACTTGATTTCTCTTTTTTCTGCTTTGCTGCTGAAATTCCAACCCCATTACTGAAAGTAACTGTTCTAGTAGTTTTATGTAGTATAGCACAGTAATTATCCTTAACCCTGAAAACACTTAAAACATTTGTACTTGAAACAGAACCAGAAGTTCTATGCTGCTGAGTTACCTGTTCCAAATCAGTCCTTCACTTGGTTCAATGTTTAATTACAGAACTAATTTTTTAAAGATAAAAACTGACTATGGAACACAAGGAGAGACTCCTTTTTTGTAAGATTCGTTCAACATCACTCTCCAAGTGATGCCGAAACTATCAAACCTCTAATCTCGCTTAACTGTAAGCGAGTTAAGCATTGCAAGTCCTAGCATTGCAAGTCCTAGCATTGCAAGTCCCAGCAAGGGAAAAGCCCCACACCTGTGTACCACGGCACCAGACAATGAAGGTGCATGCTACACATTCAAAGAGACTATGCAGAAACTGCATAACTTAACTTTTTGGAATTACGGTAAAAAACAGATGCACATTACAGTCTACAGAGAATGTCTAATTTCTACAAACATCTTAAACGTCTATGCCAAGTAAAGTAGATCAGTTCCTCAAAACGTTGTGTCACACTGAAAACGATTACCTTTTCTTTGTTGTCCAGTGAAGAGGAAAGTCTAGGACTTGAAGCAGAACGCATAACACCTGCAGAGTCCTTTTCTTTCTGTGCTTCTTTGGAAGCAGTAATCTCTGCAAGTGCACCATAACTACCAGTTTTTCTAAGACCTAACCTCCATGAAGCAGGAGATTCATCTTTCCTCTCTTCTTCTTTGGGAGAAACCTTGGTCGTAGATGTTGGGAACTATAAAACACACGTAAACGATACTACCTTAGTAATTTACACTACCTACGGTAACTGAACACAACTGTTTTTAATAATCATAGAAGTGTTGAATTCGTAGGGGAGTTGTGGTGAGAGACAACCTACACACTCTTCTCTTGAATTAGTTGATGAGGTAAAAAATGTAAGACTGGTCAAGGTATACTACGGCTCTAAAAGTTAGCTTAGAAAAACTCACACTTTGTAATGCACACTGTGATCATGAGATGCAAACTTACATGCAAATCCAGTATCAACATTTTGATTAAATATGTTATTTTGCAACCTGTGCACACCAGAACCTCACCATAGATTTTTCACCCTTAGTGGGCACAAGAACAATGCCAGTTTTGCGCAAGCCCTGCCTCCATGATGTAGGATCTACTGACTCCACGACAGGCATGATAGGAGGAATGAAATCATACTAAAGCCAATTAAGACAAGACAAAGATGAAGATTGAAAGGATGGAAAACAGAAACAAAAGGTTGTTTTAAAACCACATAGTTTGTTCCTATGTTTATGTTATGTAGCTCTTCATTACAGCACAAAACACCAAAAAGCAGCAAGAGACTTATAACCTTAGTAAGAGATTCTTATTAAACACAACACTGAGGTTTAGCTAATTCAGAGACAGGATTACAGTTTGCACAGAAGAGGACAGCAAAGCCTGTTGACCTGACAAGGCCCATGGCCTAAATCATCACATGGTTGAGAACAGCAGAAGATTGACACTAACGTATCTCTTACCTTTCTTATCTTCTCATCGTATTTCATTCGTATCCCTTAATCACTTTCCATGCTAGCTTAGCCATCAAACCCATACTTTTGAGGTGCAGACCTCAAAAGGCAGGTGCAAAAGTAGTGTGCAAGATCACACATATAGTCCTGTTTTACCTTCAATAGTAAAACCAACTTAAAGCCTCTTTGTTCATCGATAGGAGCTGCAACTTCTTCTCTAGATCACATGTACATGCTATGTTACAAGATGATCAGTCTTGACATAAATGTGCATTTATCTTGTAGTTACAGAGGGCCCGGAATTTTTCACATATAGTATTAGAAAGATAACTACAGTTTACTTTCAACCTGCATCTTCCACCTTTTAGTCCAAAAGATAAGCCATTAATTACTGCATAATAAAATTAGAACAGTGCCAATGCATCAATTATTTATAAAAGGTTATCATTCAGTTTAAAATAATACTTTTCTTCTTCTTATAAAGGAGTTTTTTCTTCCCCATACATTGTTATTTAATCATGTACCAAAAAATTATGTCTGTTAGCCTATAAAACTTTAGAATATCAAGCCACATCCCAGCTAGCAACAATTTGGTAATATCCTGTTGCTGAAAGTCATATAGCTTAGAAGGCTTTTCAGTAATACAAATAAATTGATTGGAAGGGACAACTAAGAAACCTCAAGATGAAGTTCAGAGAATTAAAAGAAAAATGAAGTGACTGAACTGTTAAATATCTTAGAATCTCCAGCATGCAAAGATAGTTAAATGCAGTAAAAAATTTGGATGGAGAGCACATCAGTTAAACAGTCCAACTGTCACAAATGCTTGTATCACTGAAATGATTTAAAAAAAAAAAAACAAACAACTATATAAAATAGGCTTATTTCCTTGCAGTAAAATTCACACTACATATTTGAATTCATTCCTGTTAGGCACAGTTAGCAAACCAGCAATATCTTCCCTCCCTCACACATTTGCTAGGGTTTGTGTGAAGAACTTGTGACTCTTAAGAGTTTTGTGCAGCACCTGAGCAATGCAAATCCCATGACAGAGAACTGGAATTCCTTACTGAGACAGCAGGAACTGCTGAAGTTAACATCACAAGATCACCCTGGAATCTAGCAGATACCTAGAGAGCCCAGCCACAAAGCTCAGCAAGGGGAAACAGTCACTCCTGCCACTGGGCCATGCTGACAATTCCCCTTTCACCCTCATGCTTTTTTGAGATAAATCTTGTGGACATCAGTTACAATGATTTTTGTAAAGCTGCTCTTGGGATCAGGAAGATTAGCCCAACCCTGTTGTACATTATCACATAATATGATGCAGTTTGGCAATATATTTCCTGCACCTGTTACATTAAAGTATATTTTGTAAGATGAATCACCATTAGTTTTATTGTGAATACGCAAGTACAGCTACAATTAGCCCCCACCAGCTAAATACAACACATCCTATACACCCAGCATTACGTCTTCTCTCTGTACTGTGGCTTCAGTGTATCATGGCTGCAATTTCTTCCCAAAAACACTTTTCAGAAGCATCAACAGAGGGTTACACTTTGATGATGATGTTTATAGAAAGCTGTCATGATTGACAAAAGAAGCGTTACTGGCTTACTATCCAGTTTGCTTAGATATTCCAGAAGCTTGACCTGCATACCACCTTCTGACTATGCACCTTCTGACTATCTGCTGTAATTTTTTGCCCCCAGGCATATGTATCCTGCCTTTGACAAACAAAACTAAAATTCATTCCAATTAACTTTTCTCACCAAGCTGTAAAAAGCTTCCTGCATGCAGCATGGATTTCCTAGGTGTTTTTGAGCTATGCACTGAATCAGTAACTGGTCCCAATTCTCTAGCTCTTCCACGAGGCCCAGATCATACTGAAGTCAGGGTTGGAACCTACAGCACTCTCCACTTCTTATCAGGTATCATTTTCAACTTCTGCATCTAAGCACTAGCTGAATGCTTCTAGGGCCTCCTGAAAGTACCCTAGTCACACCTGCCTCCCTTGCCTTAACTGCATCACAAATATAGGCACAAGAACAGCGGTATCTAAAAATTTTGGAGGATTCTGGCATAGAAAAGACTTTCAAAATCGAACAATTTCTACTTTTTATACAATAATCAAGAAATGTAAGCTTATACAGAAGAAGAGAATCTAAAAACATGAGAAAGGTTATTTTATTTTACCTTCTTAACAGGTGATGTAGGTGCCCCTTGGCCACCGGCTACTGAAGGTGCTGTCACAGCTACCGATGCTGATTGTGTATTTGTGTTATTTGCATTATTAGTTACAGCTGCCAAGGTTTTGGTTTTATCTGCAAAATAATTCACAAGATTTTTTCATTTTTTATTCACTATTTCTTCACTTTACAACACAGAGCTGAATTTCTTTTGCACAAATCTGACAGTCAACTTTCCTGACAGCATTTCATTATTTGTTCCAGTATTTTCCCCCTCACTCCCAACCTGTATCTGAGTTCAGTCTATCTTTTTTCCATAACACTCATGCATATAATTTTTTTTTTTGTTACTCAGCAAGTGTTAAATACTCAGAGATGCAGAGACAGAACCACAGAATCATTCAGGTTGAAAGTGACATCGGGAGGTCATCTAATGCAACATCAAGCGCAAAGCAGGGTCAATTTTACAGCGACCAGGTTGCTCAGGGCTTTGATGAGTCAAGTCTTGGAAACCTCTAGAGACAGAGATTCCACAGCCTCCCCAGATGGCCTGTATTTTCGTACATGGCTAATGACCGTAAACGTTTAACAGTAGGAGGTATGTTGGCATGTAATAGTTAATTTGAACGTCAGAGGATGCTAAATCAACATAAAACATTTATTCTTGGATAACTGTGTATGTTGAGCGCAAAGAAATAAATAACTGCACAGAGAATCCAGTCAGGGATTCCAGGCAATAGAATAAGCCGAGGCAAGGACTTGCCTTCCAGAGCTCTGACTTTCCATTTGCTTCATTCCTTCTTTGTCCCTTGTTTTTCCTACCTAAGTTTCACTGTCCACCTACTCTATCGTCCTCTGCTTTGTCCTTCCTGCCCACATTTCTTCCTCTGTCCTTTGTCTGTGTACCTTAACACACAAACATACAGACAATGTCAGGATTGGGATACAACATCTGTTGTCTCTTTGTTTCCTTGAGCTTCAACATCTCACAGATCATTTCTGTTTCACCTAGTCAAATTGTACATTCTTTGGAGTAGGATACTACATCCTATCTGTGCAACATGGAGCATCATGGGGTTCAATCCCCATTGGTTTGGCCCATATCTTTATGTCTACACTACTCACACAGCACAGGAGCAGTTAATTTAGAAAGTACACAACACTTTCATACAGCGTTCTCATAGCTAACATTCAAATTCAGCAAAGTACCAGTCTATGACTGGAAATGGTATAATTAAAAGTGTTGCTGTTACACACTTCTTTTAGTTATGGACATAGTGGAACAGACTTTTTGAATAATTATTTATGCAGTAAATACAATTTAAAGAAACCAGCTTACATGACTAACTGTGCACTTAACGGAAAGTTCTTTTTAAACACAAGTGAAAATAAATGGTGGTAAACTTCTAGGTCATGGTGATAAAAAGTTCAACAGGGCAATGCAGACTGACAGTACGATTTGAGATGATGCACGGGTAGATCTGCTGGAAATTCGCAAGTAATACAGCTTTAAAATACACAGAAAAAGTTATCAGGAGTGAAAGCATGGAAGGCAAGAAATGGATTTTTCACAAATATATTCTGAAACGATTTCAAGGACAGCAAGGACCTAGCCATATGCATGACTGAACTAATGCTGAGTGACTTTCAAAAAACATTAACTACCTCAAATAAAGTAAGCTAATAAACCTGGACTGCTGAAAATTGTATTTTTCAGTTTGTCTCTGCCCTTTAGGAGATGAGCTTCAGAATCATATTTCTTTTCTTGGTCTTACAGACAGAAGTATATTTATTTTTAAACTGTATTCTCATATAAACAATGAAACACAATATAATTTTTAGAAAACCATTTCCAATATCTCCACAGATTAGAATCAGTTTCCAGTTCTTCAGACTATTGAAATATGTTAAAATATTTTACAAAGAGAATTCTCCTTATAATCTTAAGATTTTTTACCAGGAAACCAACTTAAGCTGAATAATGGGAAAAAAAGGAAAGTACAAGCTTGGTATTTAAAGATTCAGCTCTACAGAGCTTAAAGTCTAGCTTGCCAAATAAAGTATGATAAAGCTTTGTTGATATTAAAAACCCCAAAGTTTACGTAAATTAATTCTTGTGTCACAGTCAAATTTTCCTGGCACAAACCATCTACTGGTAATGAAGAGAACACAGTTACCAGAGTTATAAAGTTCAGGAGACATTACAGTTAGTTCAGTGACCAAGAAATCACTACACGTTATATATCAGTGTCTGTAAATAAGGGATGCAAGTATACGAGGGTGAAAGGGTGATTACAAAGTTTGACAGACGTTTTTCCTGCTTAACACTGAAATGTTGGTTCATTTCAAAACACAAAAATAATTAAACCATAATATATAGTTTGGTTTAATAACTTATTTTTATTTCTGCCTACAGTAGATATTTATGATATATTTGGTTAGGTCAAAAATCCCTCCTTAATCTTTAAATTGGAAAGAAGGTTTTCAAATGAGAACTGACAGCTTACCCAGAAGAGTTACTTATTTTAAAAAGCATAAGTATAAAGTATTAACAAGATATTTCTAATGACTTCTATGTCGTATTGTTGCACTATAATTCTATAATTCTTTATTTGGATCGAACATATATCTTTAAACACTGATTGTCTCACGTGTTTTTTGATTTGAAAGAAAAAGATGCTCTGCTGTTCTTGCATCACTACTTGCTTTAAGACTCTGATAATTGTTCAAGAAATAAAAAAACAATAAATCCATTGAAAAGAGAAGTACAGTGATGTGTTTCTTGACATATAATTCCAAACTTTTCAAAGAACATTCCTCTTGAAATGATGCTGTATATGAAGTAACTGTTAACATCTGAACTAAAATGTTTAAATTTGAATTTAAATGTTTATTTCAGTACACTCTGAACAGTAATGCATCATTACTTTATGAATACCTGAGCCAAGATTGCCAGACTCACTGGTATTTACTTCAGGATGGCAAGAACAAATGGGAATGTTTTCACTTCTGCTGTTCCAATCTCTATACCAATTCCACAAGCAACCACTGCTATAAAAACTCCATTTCTGATTTGATCTTCTAATTTCTTTCATGATTTCTGACATGCTACTTAAAGCTTATTCCAACTATTTAATTAAAAGTATCAATTGTGAAATATCAAATAAGTAGGTTAACAGCTTTAACCTAAACAGGCACCAGTAAAGACATTTTTTCCATATCTCTTTTATGATCTGACTTTAGACATTTATGTACTTGCTTTAAAATGACTCGAAGCTTAGTGAAATGCAGATAAGTAAGTGAAACTTAAGATACTAAACTCTGTATCATGTGATAGTAAATAAGTAAATTTATAAAGTGAAAAGTTAAACACAACACTCCAAAAAACATACCTGTCTCTGCTTCAGATTCTGAGTCATCATCTTCTTCCTCTTCACTAGAACAACTGGATTCATCCTTCTTTCCCTCTTCTTCCTCATCTGCTTTTTCTTGCTCCAAAGACTCTATACTAGATGCATTCTTTTCTTGCTCCATAATCAATGTCTCCTTACTGAGTTTGAAAGGAAAAATACTTACTAAGTCCTGAAAAATTTACTGAGGTCTGTCAAATAGGACTTTGTGACAGTTTGTAAACAACTTTTTTTTTTTAAAAGCTTATTATTTTTTCCACTTTACTTACTTTTTGAATGTTTTCTGTGTCTGATTATTATCCATGTTGGCTGTGGATTCAATTAGGGGAGATTTCTTTTCTCGTTTTTCACTGTGAAGCTTCAAAGCACAGAATGATGAAGTTAAATTGACAGAATGGTATCAGTGTGACAAAACTACAAATAGAGGGAAATCTTAACTACTACAAACACTACAATGTGCATATGCTTTCAAAGTGCCAAAGTTCAAAATGCTAAAATCTCAGAAACTATTATTCCAAGTAAGTTGTTCATTGTTGATGCTTCAGATCATGCAATGCCTGCTGGAGCAGGCAAGCAGAAGAGCACTTCCCTTTTCCAAGGCTTTTTGGTCACCCTAATTGATCAAATAAGAGCATGAAAACTTAGATATGACTGTGGCATTACCTGAATTAAAGCCCCAAATCAAACCTTTGTTTTTAATCTATATGCTGCTCTGAGCTGTGTACCATAATCATACATATAATAAAGTAGTTCTTCATGGAGAGGGTGGTGAGGCACTGCAACAGGTTGCCCAGAGAAGCTGTGGATGCCCCATCCCTGGATGTCTTCAAGGCCAGGCTGGATGAGGCTTTGAGCAACCTGGTCTAGTGGAAGGTGTCCCTGCCCATGGCAGGGGGGGTGGGACTAGATGGTCTTTAAGGTCCTTTCCAACCCTAACCATTCTATGGTTCTATAACATACATATATCTTTATAAGCAAAAGGCCTACCAGATTCTGCTTCTTTTGTAATTCTTCTAAATAGCCCAGAATATCTTCATCTGCCACATCAAATGCTGTCTGCCCCTAGAGAAGGGGAAGAAGTAAAACACCATAGTTGTACAGCAGAATTTACACATAACAGATTACGACGCCTTATCACATGATGATGCAGGTACGGAGTACATTCAGAGAGAGAAATTAGATAGTATAAGCCAAGCTCTATTACAAACTGTTAGTCTGTAAGTTGCTGGAAACAATTTTGCAATATTACTTTTTTTGGGCAATTGAAACGGAAACAGCTATACCTGATAAGGAAACTTTTTAAGAGAGAAAAAAATTACTTCAATAAAATTTTGGTATTTTGAAGGAAGAAAAACTGTATTAAGGATAAGAAAAGAGATTGAAAGAATATGATTCTCACAACCTGGTTTCAAACAACTATTCCAATGGCAGTTGTATGGATGGATACTGGGTAGTTTCAGTATCCTGCCCATCTCAGACTACCACATACACATGTGCAGCAAGCTCACTACCCTAGACTTCGGGAGGGCACACTTTGGCATCTGCAGGGAACCTATTGGCAGAATTCCATGGGATGAAGCCCTGGAGGGAAGAGAGGCCCAAGAAAGCTGGTGAATATTCAAGGATCTTGTCCTCCAAGCTCAGGAGCGATGCATTCCAATGAAGAGGAAGTCAGTTAAAAACGCCAGGAGGCCTGTGTGGATGAACAAGCTGCTCCTGGGGACACTGAGCTGCGAAAAGGAAGCCTTCAGAGGGTGGAAGCAGGGATAGGTAGACTGGGAGGAGTACAGAGAAATTGTCTGAGAAGTCAGGGATGAGGTTAGGAAAGCTAAAGCCCTGACAGAATTGAACCTGGCCAGGGACATCAAGGCCAACAAGAAGGGCTTCTACAGGTACATAGGGGATAAAAAGATCAGGGAAGATGTGGGCCCTCTGTGGAAGGAAACGGGAAAGCTGGTTTCTCAGGATATGGAGAAGGCCGAGATGCTCAATGATTTTTTTGCCTCGGTCTTCACTGGCAAGGGTGAAGGCCATACCCCCAGAGTCACAGAAGGCAAAGGCATGGACTGGGAGAATGGAGAGCTGCCCGTGGTTAGAGAGGATCAGGTTCAGGAGCACCTGAGGAACCTGAAGGTGCACAAGTCCATGGGACCCGATGAGATACATTCGCAGGTTCTGAAAGAACTGGCGGATTGTGTTGCAAAACCTCTATCCATCTTATCTGAAAACTCGTGGTGGTCTGGTGAAGTTCCCGCTGACTGGCAAAGGGGAAACATAACCCACACCTAGGCGGGGAATCACAGGCCAGTCAGTCTCACCTCTGTGCCTGGCATGATCATGGAACAGATCCTCCTGGAAACCACACTAAGGCACATGGAAAATGAGGAGGTGATTGGTGACAGTCAACATGGTTTCACCAAGAGCAGATCGTGCCTGACAAACACGGTGGCCTTCTATGATGGGATCACGACCTTGGTTGATAAAGGAAAGGCAACCGATGTCATCTACCTGGACTTGTGCAAAAGTGTTTGACACTGGCCCGCACAACATCTTTGTCTCTAAATTGAAGAGGCATGATTTGTCATATAGACTGCTTGGTGGATAAGGAAC